AAAAAAAAAACACATGAAATTGCGAAATTAATAACGCAAGGATCAAAAGTTCCTTCCAGAGTGAATCTGGATTAGTTGACCTGTTATGATGTTGCGTTCTGTTTTCATACCAAACTCGCATGCCAATCTCTTTGCGAGTTACTGGATCAGAAGTAAAACGAACATTTGGAGCACGTTGATTGCAGGATTCGTGATGGCCAGGCTGTTATTAATCGCGCGGCTAAATTCGATACGGCGTTGCGCGTCGAAACACAGGCCGGGCCGAGCGAAAGTGGTCGCATAAACGTCGAGAACAGTGAACGCGGCCTAACGAATGTGGAGAGATCGGTGAACCGGAAGCGAAAGGCGCGCAGCAGCTTCACGATTCGCTTGACTCGCGGTGTATACGCGTAAGATCGTTCGCCTGGCTGTTGGCCTTTTAATGCATCGCGAAATTGAAAAAAATCTCATTTTCGACATACTGTAGTATACTGAATATACTATGATATATATTGAGTATATATTGAATACAATATTGTATATATTGTATACTATATTGAATACAATATTGTATACATTGTACATATTGTATTCAATATGCTCTCAATATATCATCAATATATTGTAGTATATTCAATATATACTCAATATATCATCGATATATTGTAGTATATTCTATATATACTCAATGTTGTATATTAAATATACTGTAGTATATGTAGTTAATTAAATATATTACAATATATTAATGATGTATCGAGTATACATTGAATATTGTATATAATATTGTATATAATAATATTATATACATACATAATATTATATACAATATTAGATATATATACATAATATCATATACAATATTAGAGAACATACAATATTATATACAATATTCAATGTATAATAATATTATATACAATATTAGAGAATATACAATATTATATACAATATTCAATGTATACTCGATATATTGTCAATATATTGTAGTATATTAGTGTATAATATTGTAGTATAATATTGTATATAATTATAATATTATTGTATATATTATTATATATACTCAATATATCATCAATATATTGTAGTATATTCTATATATACTCAACTACAATATATTGACGATATATTAAATATTGTATATTCAGTATAATGTACTATATTAAATGTATTGACAATACAATATATTGATTTTATTTTAATGGAAACTATAGGCAATTTATGTCATAGAACGAAGTTTTTTTTTTTCTGTAGGATGTGAAATTTTCTAAAGGAGGTTTTCGTTTCGCCAAGTGCCTCCGTGGAGAAGTTGTAGAGATTTTAGGGATTTATTAATCGAGCCGAAATTTTGATTTTACACATATTTTCATTCTCACGATGATGAACGATGAACTACGGGCATAGAATTGCATCACAATTCGAGATAGGATGTGAAATTTCCTAAAGGAGGTTCACATTTTCGCCGAAAATTGTACAGAGTTTATGAGGCGGAATGTTGAATGA